ACTTATCTAATCTATATTCAGTTCATAGAAAGCTGTAACCCACAAAATCTACTGTAAACTTAAAATACATTACTTAGTTGTTGATCCTTTTGATTATTTGTTTGTTTTTATTGTCACTTTTTTATCTTGTATACTTTGTTTTTTATCTTTTATATATATATATATATATATATATATATATATATATATATATATATATATATATATATATATATATATATATATATATATATATATATATACACATATACATATACATATATATATAAATATATATATTTTTTAATTCTTTTTCTTTTATCTTACATGAGCATTGTACATGAATCAATCAGTTGCATTCATTAACCAGGAATGTAACAAAGGTTTTCTCAGAAAATCAAAGTGAAAACACTTGCTTGTTATTGCCTTTTCACCATCCATTACAGATCATATTCACATGTCAGCTAGTAATCAATTGCATTTTTGTAAGTGATTACAAACTAACTTTATATGAGACATGCAGTACAATAAACAAAGCAAAAGTCCACTAGAACATCTGAACATGTCATTCACTCTTTCTTTATCTTAATATCAACAATCAATAAATATTCATACAAAAGAAAAATTCTCCAAACTCACATGGATTTCTATCAACAAATAATATATTAATCTGGTGTGACAGTATGGCTATGACAACTTAACAATGTCATGGTTTACCCAATGCTGCCGAGAAAATGATGTGCTCATTTTTTATATTTTTGTGAAATGTCTCTGCACATAGATGGCTTGCTGGTGCTTAGCCACAAATGAGTCAATCAGTGGGCCTTGTGACCTTACCTGATTTCACCTTTCCTTGAATTTTTACTAATGCTATGAATATTGATGGTGCTATCTTTATTTCAGACATTATAAATACTATGATTTTATAAACATTAATAACAGGAAATAAGATGACAAATATTTTCGTAAATCAAGGAAAAGGGTAAACAGGCGAGACAGGCAGTACTCGGTAACTGGCTCATTGGTGACTTAGTACAAGTATAGCCATCTATGTGTAAAAAAAATTAATAAAGTAAACTCACAGTGGGCAGTGCCCAGCAGCACTGGGTTAAACCAAACAAGATGTGACCAGGCATGGTGAAATGTTTACAGTTATTGTATCTGAGCAAGAAAATTAAGAAATTAACAAAAATGGAATTTCAGACTATATCACAGCAAACCAGTAAAACCAAACCCCAAGCAACACAACCCTTCACCATAAGTCTGGATAAACCCAAGAATCTCTTGGTGCAATAAACAATATTGGAATGCACACTATGCAGAGAATTGAAATGTATATCCTGTAATTCAGAATAAATGCAAATTCCTGACTTCCTGACAATACTGTGATTAAGCTGGTCAAATCGCAATGCAATACTGAAATAAACTAGAGCACAAAGCATTTGTTCAAAAGGTTAGCAGTTCTTTTGACACAGATGTTCAGCCCTTACTTTGAAATCTTAACTCATTCATTCATAGTTATCATTGGAAATTATTAATATCGTCAATACTCATATACAATTTTGTTTTTAATCTAACCAGTACTGTAATCATAACAAATTTCTGATAGGTCCATAAATACCCAATGAGTTAATTAAGTATATCCCTATAATGACGGTATCAGAAATTTCTTGGTGTCACTGACTCTGGAGGCTTCTGGCAACCATCCTGCTGTTTGCCCAGGAGTCTGCTACATGTATTATATTATTATTCTCAAAAATATAATTAAGCATAATAAAATTAATTACATCTACAATGCATGTCATAATATTTAGGAATTACTAAACACATTTAATATCAATACTATGTTTGCCAAGGGGGAAGCCAAGGAATAATGCTATAAGTGTCCAGATGAAAAATCAATAGATTGCTACAACCTAGAGTAACGAAACTTCATTATCCAAGATAATAAAAAGAAAGAATGAATAACAGTGAAAAAAGAGATCAAGTTCAGTTAATTTAGTTAACAATTTCTTTATAGCAATAATATTTAGGTGATGATATTTATTGATTTTCTTTAGTAAATCACCAGCAATAATAATACTTTTTATATACTGATAATTTGGAATTTGAGCACCTAAATTTTGCACCAAAAAATTAAGAACTAAAAACCACATAGTTTCATTTTATAATCCTAATAACTGCAATATCTGTAATTTTGAAAAGTTGTTGCACTTTGTAAAAAATCCCTAGAAAAGTCTGACAGATAAACTGAAGGCTCAGCTTCGCATATTGGACTTATCCTTATCCTTAGATAAACTGCCTGTTACAAGAACATTTCTTTTGATGAAAATCCAAAGGGCACTTATAGTCCAATTCTAATGGATATACACATATTTTCTGTCATGTCATACTTTATTTGTGCAAGTTCAAATCATTGATACTTTACCTTGTATTACATCAGTATTCATAAATTAATATGAATATCAACACTAACATTGATGCTAATACTGGCAATATTCAATAACAATTTTAACAAAAGGAAAAAATATTTCCAGAAGTTTTTTTTTTTTCTTTCTTTCTTTTTTATCTGGATTTTATACTCTTTTTCCAAATCATAAATCAACCTACAATGAAACACTGAAATACTGAGGACTCAATTCTAATGCATTCTTCCTCCAAACTGCAGTCACCTTTGCAGAACAGGATCACTAATAGCATGCTTGGGGTCACATGTAAAGGACACCGTCACAGCATACCTGGTGCCTTTTGTGACTCTCTCTACATGATGCAGGTTCTCAGACCCAGAGGTAAAAGCAGAAACTCTCCCTGCAATGAAAAGAATCAATCAGCTGACAGCAGATCTAAAACTGGTATATAAAATATTATAATGCAGAATATCAAGGAGCTTCTAACATGTAATATTGATAAGAGTACTACATAAACTCTTATTACAATGTGTAACCATTTGTATACATCCCCTGAATTTGTATACATTAAAAGGACAAAAAAGTGAAAAATACATCCAAAACCTTCTACAACAGTATGACAATCACAAGACTCACAATATCCACTACCCATCTCATCAATTGCCTGGCTATCTACTTATAAGTGCACACAAAAGAACTCTTAACAGATGTGTACCTGAACGTGGCTCAACAGTTTTGTTGGAGTCCTTATCAATGAAGATGAACCGTCCACCCTCAAAGTCATAACTATAATCAGTTAGGTATAATAATGATGTGTAATGGAAAGACTCGTAAGTCTCCTGAAAGGAATAAAGAATAATGTTGATTAGCTTTGAAATAACAGTAGTTGAAAATATAAATTAAGTATGGCAAAACGTACAACATATGAAGTGGAAACTAGTACAAAAGAAAGAGCATATCATAACATGACTTCCTCAATTCACAGCTGCTCTTGAAAACCAAGTGCTGCCAGGAAAATGTTGTGTTTACTGTCGTATTGCTTTGTGAAATGTCTCTACACATAGATGGCTCCACAAGTGTTTAGCCACAAACTAGTCAGTCAGTCAACTTTATCATCTCACTTCATTTCACCTTTCCTTGAGTTTTCCAGATTTTTGTTTTTTAATAATTCTATCAGTATTGATGTTGTTATTATTCTTATTATAGACATCAAAATTGTTATAATATTACAGACATTACTAACAGCAATATAAGATAAAAGTAAATATAAAAAAAAAAAAAAGGATAAACAGGTTAGATAGGTAGTACAGTAAGTCCCCAACTTAAGAACATAATGGGGACTGAGAGGCTACTTGTAAGATGATTTGTTTGTATGTCGAAAATCGGGTCTCCATTACCTTTTTTCCCATTGTTTTAAAGTTTTGTTTACATTAAGAATACTTGTAAATAAATCCCAATAAGTATGACATACCTTATACAGTACCAGAATTTCGTGCCCAGGAAATTTGAAGTTTGCTAGCGTCTTTCAAACAATTTTTTGGACTTTAGTACTTAAAAAATTTTGTTTGTATGTATGGAATGTTCATAAGTAAAATGTTCTTAAGTAGGGGACTATCTGTACTAACAATTGGTCATTAAATAATTGTGAAACCATCCATGTGTAAAGACAATTATCAATTCATGGTGGGAGTATGTCCATATAAGCCAATAAATATGGAATATACTTGAAACACAGAAGTATATAAAGCAATTATTTTAAAGAACAAAGGCAATAAATTCTGTCACTAACAAAATACATTTAACCAAACAAAATTAAAAATGAAAATCACATAAAATGAATTTCTTGTTTACAGGTGGCACTCTATTCCTAATCAATCACACAGCACAAGCCGATGCCTACCTTGTCAACATGAGGATGCCAGTACTCATCATGAACTGTTTGTGGAGGAGCAGGAGTGATGCGAGAGAAGAAGGTTGGATGTGTTAAGTAAAGCCTGTTTTTTTCAATGCCGAAATGATCCACTATAGCTTTGTGAATCTTATTTTTGACAAAACTGGAAAAAAATAGATAGAGTTATATTATCTAACAGGGTAATCAGGGTATCAAAATTTTGATACATTTCTCATCACCAATGGTCTGGTACTTGTGATCTTTAAAATTCCTTTTTTTAATTTCAATTTTTGTAAAAGACTGACTAACCATGACTTGTTATCCCTCCAGATTGCTAGATTTACCTTTCTTTATTACAAATATTCAACTGGTAATTGGATTATCATATAATCATTTGTATTACAAACAAAAAAACTCCTTTATAAATATGTTGTAAAGGGATTTACCATTTTCTAAGTTTGAATCATACTTTAAACTTTTCATTATCTATAATAATGGTCATGATAATATTCTCTGTTTTATACTGTATTTCCAGGAAGTATTTACTCTGGATCACACTATATCATACATGTATACAACTTTTCAGACTGTTTCAGGTCTTCATTAGGTACACACCTATATATTTTGAAGTCTTGTTCTGTGAATAAGTTTCTTGCCTCTTCCAATTTAAAGATATTGACAAAAGCATTGCCATGTGACAGAGCGCCTGAGTGCAAGTCAAGGATAGAAGCTCCACCAGTAGAACCTCCCATTGACAGTCCTCTCTTTGCTATGTTGAGTAAGGCAGCAACCTCAGACGGCTTCACAAGAGTGTCAAACACTACTCTACCACACTTCCTAGGTGTACAACCTGCAGTTACAAGGTCCTTAGTTATTAACAACAACAGATGATGAAAACACATATATTTCATTATCTCTCAGTATTCAGGATAAATGAAAAAGAATATTCAAATTAGCTATATTCTACCAGGAAAATGCAAAAGCTCCTGTGCATAGTCTTCAGAACAACTAATATCAACAGAGCGGCTGAGAACTTCTTCCTTCTGTGTTACGAAGGTGACCTGAAAAAGTTAATGATATTACCTCATCCACTGTTTCCATCAGAAATATTACAAACCTTAATAATGCTATCCTAAATACATAAAAAAAACATTGACTAACTTTGCAATTTATCATATACATTTATACAAAAGAAAAAACAAAATGGCTGTCCCCAAATCCACAGAAACTTTTTTACTTCTATGCATTATATGAGCAAACTATTATCATAAAAACAAGAGAAAAAAACAAAACAGAAAAGTCACACTGAACTAACCAAGTCTGTTGCCTTAGTGTAATAGACAGCAACCATAATACCAGTCATCATAAGAATCCTAATGAAGATACGACGCCAGTCTATTTGCAGTCTTGGTGGACTACTTGTTGTCTGGGAGCTGAAAGATGGCCAATATATTATTGAAGAAGAGACAAAGGAATCCTAAAGTAAGTAATTATATAATTAAAAGTAATATATATAATATTAGTGTAACAAGAACAAAATTAATCAAAACAAGCAAAATGACACAATCAGAATATTTTCTATACACTGCAGCTATAACTAATCAAGTACAATACAATGGATTGTGCTTGTGCTCCTCTGACCCTAATGACTGTGACCTGCAATATTTTGAAACAATAAATGGAGGAATAAAGAAAAAGATAAAAAGAATTTAATAAAACTACAATGGAAAATATTAATTTTGAGGTCTTTTGTTTTGCTTGTAACAAAGATCTCCTCTTAAAAATCATATGTCATGAAATATGATACTTACGGAGTAGGAACTTCAGCCTTATTTGTTCCAGGAGACTTGCGTGGTCCTCTCATTTTTGCCATTTCTGCTAACTTTGAAAGATCCTAAATGTGCCAAATGCTGCTATCCTGTTAACCTTGAATAAAAATAGTGACAATAAATGAATTTCATAATTCAATATATTATTTCAATAATTTCATTTCAGATAATTCATTTTCCCTATATACCTCCATACAACTAATAACATTTCATCAATTTTCATATAACAATTTCTTGATAACCTGACCAGTGCATAATCTGATAATATTGTCCTTACAGAAACTAGAAAAAAAAAATCCAAAATGTTAAGTAAACTATAAGCCATATGATTACATAAAACCACAGTTTCTATTAAAATCACTATCAAAATTATGAAACAACAAAATCATATTTCCAGACCTCACACCCCACTGCATGCCTTGGTTCTGCACTTCATAGTCTGACATGACAGAAAAAAAATTAAAAAAAGACATCCTGATATCTTGAAGCTGGGGAAATTCCCATGTGATTTATATATTATCTCTTAAGCCAGAATATACATAGTAAGGGGTTTCCTGGTCTTGCTAGGGCAGCTCAACTGTGTATAATTGATATAGTTTCAGTTTCACACAGCCATGTGGTTTAAGTTAAACCTTGTCTTTAAAGGATATAGCAATTTTATTCATAGGTTGATAATAAGAAAGTTGTGCAACTTGTAATCCTTTGGAATATATCTATGCAAAAATCTAATGACAATATCATAAGGTTAGAAAAAGCTACACTCACTCATACATGAAATGGCCTGACCAGGAAAAGAACATAAAAAATGAAGAACATATGTCACAACAAAAAACGCATGGTGAGTAAGTCCATAGCGATCGGGTGGGGATCCGGTGGACAGAGCCCGATAAGGAAATTCAGTGATTGGGTGGGGGTTTGGGAGCAAAGTCTCCAGGTCTGATAGGTTTTCGGTTCATCAACTCCTCAGTAGTTGGAGTAATGGGGACTTTGTAAACAGTTACCAATACTTTCACATTGCAATGGAAACGATATTCACGCATAGTACAGAGTGAATTATTGAACCAAGGAACAATAGCAAGACAGGATGGTTGTGTGAAACTAAAAACTTACTGTAAAATTAATTAGTTAACTTTAGTACTTCCGGTAACAACACTTTCCCGGAAAAAAAATAAGCACAGGTGCCTGCGAGATAATATATCTACTGTTTCGTCGTCAAATCAATCCCTAGTCGAGTTCTGTTCTCGATGTGAAGTTGCGATCAAAAATGGATTACCTCAAAACTAATATACAATACAGCCGCCGACTGACACACAATACAACAATCGTAAATCATAAAGTCAAATGTCCAGACGTCGGCGTGTTACGTCCATACTCACAGTGACTTCTTCTTCTT